AAATGCAGGCCCAACTTGGCACGGGGTCGATACACAATATTATCTTCTGCTCACAGTTTTACCAATTTGTGTGGCAGACGCATCCTAATAAACAATGAAAATCATGTACTCACCACTGCATATGAGAAGAGGAAGATGGAGTCCAGAATCCCCAGAAACAGAGTGGCCTGCTTTTCATCCTCAAACAGACGATTATCCTGCCAAGTCTGGGACAGTCAGAGAAAACGTGATTGTGCAGAGTTCATACAGGCTCTTAGACCAAGGACGTGACTGTAAAAGTTTTGCTTTTGTGCATCAGGGATTAAGTTAAACTGCAGAGAAGCTAACTTACTGGAGTGTGCACATTGAGAAACAATAACACACAAAAAAGTAAAAAACAAAAAGGCTTTACTTTGGAATTGTAGCCAGCCAAAATATTTCTGACTTATTTTAATTTCAGCGTTGTATATGTGGGAGACACATTGTTCTGTGCTGTATGCTCATTACCTCGCCAGGCGAGAAGGCAGGTGAGCTGTCATTAAGAATGGAAGGCGTCCACTGAGCTGAGATGCTCACTTTCACATTGCTGAATGTCTTCCTGGACGCGTGCAGCAACACGTAGCTGGAAAGACAGAAAGCAGTTTTACTCAGAAAGGAATAACAAACCATATGAGGACAAACATTTACTGAAAGTGCAGCGCAGTTATTTCATTCTTATTTAATATAATGGATCAATTAAAGGGTACATTTATGAGTTTTGAACATGCTTTTTGTTTTGAACATGGATTTTTTAGGGCTCTTGGGTACCACAGCTCTCTAGTTGTAAATAAAAAGGTTAAATTCCAAAGTAATGTCATTTCAGCTGTGCAAGAAACACTGAAATTACATACTTAAAAATGAAAATGAAAAAAACAACAACCCCCAAACAAAATCCACTTCCAAAACAGCTGAATGCTTAAGACAAATTTATGCTTGTAATAAAGATTTCAAGCACAAATGTCCGATGCCATGGCTACAGCAATTGCTCTATATTACTTTTACTTGAACCAAAATAAAGCAAAGCCTATTATATGATACACACTGTCTATTTAAAACGACGTGAATGTCTTTGCTAGATTTGTTCAATAAAA